CCTCCGCGCCCGCCCCGCCTCTACCTGAGCCCTGCCCGGTGCACCCGGCGACAGCCTCTCTTCTCCAGGGACACCCACTCTCCAGGCAGCCGGCCACCTTTTACTACCGTGTGCAGCAGCCCTGGGCACCCCAACCCCGACCTCGGGAGGGGTGCCCTCCCCCTCCTCCTCGTCCACTCCCCCTCCCCCAACCACCACACTTAGAAGAACGTGAGAGACTGGAGCTAATGGTTTCGTCCACCTTCTGGGGACACTCAGCAGGTATATCCTGCCGCCCGTGTGTGTGTGTGTGTGTGTGTGTGTGTGTGTGTGTGTGTGTGTGTGTGTATGTGTGTGTGTGTGTGTGGGGGGGTGTAAAGGGAGAAACCAGCTTGTTTTTTCCTGTTGTTATCCTCCTACTGGCCCCACCGTTTCTCAGACGCCCCTGAACTCAGGTTGAGGGGCGCCCCACACAGCACTTCTGCCATCTCAGTACAACTGGAGCACCAGGGTGTCCTGGGGGAGAGAAGGCCAGCAGGGAGCACCGTCAGTGTTAGGGCGCTGACTGCTCCTGGGTCCACACCTCGAGCCCCTTGTGTGTCACGTGGGGCCGGCGGAGAGGTGCGGGGAGTGGGGGACCCCGGGACCCATGAGCAGTGAGTGTGTGCTGGTGCTGTGGGCAGGTGGCTTGCGGTGAGGGAATGGTGAGGGTCAGAGCCAGCCACGCCGACCTGAGAAGCAGATTGAGAAGATCCATTTATTAGCTCCTCATTCGGGACCTCGGAGGAGGAAGCGTACACTTTCACGGCCTGGTTCCAAGCACAGAAATGTGTGGGGTGGGCTTATAGAGGTCGCCTCCATCTGCAGGGTCATCTCAGCCTGGCTGCTTCGGCCCAGTTATTCACACCAGGGGCAAGGCGTCCGCCTAGGGGTAGCCTCCCAGGACAATGCAGCTGTACATGCAAGATCCTCATCGTAAATTGAGGATCTCAGCGGTATTAAGGGAAAATGATCTCCAGAGCAACTGGCCCCGACTCCAGAGTTAGGAGATTAGAGGATGTGGCTCCAGCTCTTTCTCTCTAGTGCTACACACACTGAGCACCACTCAGAGAATTAGAGAATAACTTGCTTTATAGTTTAAAAAATCCTTTCAAGAAAGACAGGGCAAATGGTATAATGCCCACACACTAAGAGGCGACATGGCACATGCATTCTCTCCACAGTGTTTATTGAACACCTGCTACCCAGCAGACACTGTCTGAAGTGCTGTATTCCAAGCACCTACATTTGTGAAGTTTGCTTTCTAAAGACAGGACCAGATAATAAATAGATAGATAGTTAAATATATTGATTGATTGATATGTCAGTTAGATGTTGTTTAGTGCTGTGGAGAAGGGAAGGGATAAGGAAGGTGGGAGGCATTGGGCAGACATGAAATTGGAAATCAGGAAAGTTCTCATAGGAAGGGGTGATGTTTTAGCAAAGTCTTGAAGGAAATGAGGTGCATGAATCTACTGTATTATCCAGAACTCTCACTTAAGCAGAATGCCTGCATCTCTTGAGGGCAATGTTCGTTGGTATTCACAATTTGGCTTTCACTGCTCTAAAACAATGGTTCCCAAACCTTATTGGGCTTAAAATATCACCCAGTGACTTTCAGCAGATGCAGGGTGGATGGGGGCTCTGGGTTTCCTTGGACCACTCTTAAAGAAACATTGCTCTAAAATAAACCAAAGAGTCCTCTAGAATGACAACAATAACAGAACGAAAGATTAAATTATAGTCCCTGTGGTTTTAGTGTTGAGAGTATGTCACTGTGTTCTCATTCTTTGAAAATGCAATACTCAAGCAAAACCCTGGATTACCCAGAACATCCATTTCTTGTCCAAGCAGGAGAAGTGAAAATTTATCATAAGCTGGTGAGGAGCCAAACATTTATAATCAGTCTGTTTTCACCCTTCCTCCTTTTTGCTGCCCTAATTTTTAAAATATTTTTTCCTTTCCCCAAATTTCTGGACTCTACCAGCAGGTGAACGGCTGGGGTAATAAGAGCACTTGACCAAGAGTCAAAGGATGCACAGGTGGGTCCTGGAACCACCGCTGCCTCTGGTTGAGTCCAGGGACGCGCCACTCAGCCATCTGAGCGTCCCTTCGCTCTGAGTCCTGCAGGACTCGAGTGAGGTCACATGCACGAATGCACCTGGGAACCTCTGACGCACCGTGGAAAGGGAAGGCGGCTCTGACTGCACCCGCAGAGCCAGTTAATTGGTCCAGTTCAAGTTCAAGACAGTGTGGTACTGGCATAAAGACACAACATAGATATTAGAATAGAATATAAGTGAGAGTCCAAAAATAATCCAGCCTCTTCGACAAATGGCGCTGGGATAACTGGATTCCATATGCAAAAGAACTAAATTGTGCCTCCACCTCATAGCACATACAGGCACCAGCTCAAAATGGGTCAAAGGTCTCAGTGTAAGAGCTAAAACTATACAAAGAAAAGGAGATCAATGGGACATCATTAAAATTAAAAACTTTGGTGCTTCGAAGGGCACTATGAAGAAAGTAAAAAACAACCCAGAGAACAGAAGAAACATTTTGCAAAGCATATATTTGATAAGGGACTTGTATCTAGAAGATATAAAGAAGTTGTAAAACTCAATAATAAAAAAGATAAATTATCTGATTGAAAATGGGCAAAGGAGCTCAAAAGACAGTTTTGCAAAGAAGATACATAAATGGCCAAGAAGCGCATGAAAAAATGCTCAGCATTATTAACCATAAGGAGTGCAATCAAAACACAGTGACGTCCCAGTCTCCACCCACTAGGATGACTGTGTTATAATAAAAAAGACAGATAATTACAAGTGCTGGTAAGGGTGTGGGGACTGGAACCTTCCTACATGGCTGGTGGGATGTAAATGGCGCAGCACTATGGGAACCAGCCTGGAACAGAGGTCCTCGAAAGGGTAAACAGAATCACCACAAACCTGGCAACTCCACTCCTCATCTCTACTCCAGAGAAATGGAAACATATGTCCACGCAAAAACTTGTACTTGAAGGTTCACAGCAGCATTATTCATAACAGCCAAAATGTGGAAACACCCACATGTACATCAGTTCTATACAACTGAGTATTATTTGCTCCTAGAAAGGAATGCATGACTGAACTATGCTACAACACAGGTGAGTCTTGAAAACATTATGCTGAGTGAAAGGAGCCAGACACAGGAGGTCATACATTGTACGATTCCGTTTACATGAGATGCTCACAGTAGGCAAATCCACAGAAACAGGAAGTACACTGGTGGGTGCCTAGGGCTGAGGGTTGGGGAGTCGGGGAGAGCTGGAGAGAACTGTGTACAGTTTTCTATTTGGAGTGATGAAAATCTGCTAAAGCTAATTATGATGATGTTTGCAGAATTCTGTGAATATACTAAAAACTACTGAATTATACACTTTAAATGAATTAATTGTATGGTATGTAAATTGCATCTCAATCAAGTTGTTACCCAGAAGAATCATCTATTATAAACCTTTCTCTGATCCCAGTGCCTATGCAGCAAATGAATTTACTCTCTTTTCTCCCATAGCACCTTATTTTTAACTTCATCATCATCATCATCATCATCTAGAAATTAAGTTCTTTCCACATACTAGACATGGTGCTAAGCAGTTTTCAGGAATTTTCCCATTTCATTCTCCCAGCAATTCTTCCAGGTAGAAACTATTGTATTTTAATTTTACTGACCAGGAAAACAAGTCTTAGGAAAGATAAGTAATTTGTCTGAAGTGACATAGTAAATGGGGAAAGTAATAGCTAATATTTATTGAACAATTACTGTGTTCCAGGCCCTGGATTAAGCACTGCTTCTGGAAACTCATTCAATTCTTACAACTCTATGAGGTGGGTCCCTATTTTCCAGATCTGGAAATAGACGTGTTGAGTGATAAACTTGCTAATACAGATCAGAATGGTAGGTAGTGGGGGAGCTGAGATTTGAACTTAAGTCTGATGCCAGAACCTCTACCATGGACCACTACATTACTTTCTCTTCCTATTCGATGCATACAATCCATTTGTTATTATAGACGGTCTGGGCTGACACGCTGGAATGAGACCTATTTAAGGGCCAGGTGCCTGACGCAGCCTCTT